CTGAAGAAGGCTGAAATTCTTTGCAAGCACTGAAATGCTGTATGTCAATCATATCCCACATGTGCCAGCAATCTTCTTAAAATGGGAAGTCTTGACAGAGCACTTGTTTCAAGTAAAATCTCCCCAGGATCTGGAAGACAGTGAAGGAGTGCCTCAAGACACAAACCATTTATTGAACATGTAGGTGTTGTTATGCTTCAGCTGCAAAATATGTTTATAATTAGTTTCAAAAGACTTAGTGAGCCCTCTGACTAATAATGAAAATATCCAAATGCTCTGGTCAGAGCAGGATTTTGTATTTGTGAGTACCTCTGTGCTGGACCATGATCAAGATCCATAGTGGATGTTACATCTTCTACCCTATGTTACACTCACAACAGTCTCTTCCCCTTAAGGTGAGCCACAAATCAAAGTAAATCTGTTGACATCTTTTCTAATGCATGTTTTTTTTCATATTCAAAATTGGTCTTATATCTTCAAATATTTTTAAAGCTCTGAGAAGACTATTGTCATGGGTCTTGACTATACACTGTTAAGTCATGGACTATTTCACCATCCTTTTGTGATTAACTGTTCCAGGGCCACCAAAATCTGGATTATCTTCTCCTCTGAATAGTCAAGATATCTCAGAAGTTTTTGAATATATGTTTCTCAAATGGAATAATGAACATGGTACTCGAAGATGTGGTGCTTCCCTAAACACAGATAGGCATTACTTTGTTCTCTGACTGCTTGACACTTAGCATGGAGAAATGTTTTTTTTCTACAGGCTTGTGGAACTCCAGGAGTTTGACACAAATGGAAATGTGTCCAGGGGTCTTCATCCCACTAGCTGGGAATACTTCACTGACAGGTTTATCACCCGAATCAGTAACTCATAAGTGAAACCTGGTTTTTGATTTTTCATTAGATGAAGTTGTTTTAGGCACAGTGAATACAAAAGTCTGAGCACCATTCTTCAGCCTAATTAAACAGGATTCCTTCTGTTTTCTTAGTCTGTTGAACAGTCTATGGAATACTTGAACTGAGTTAATTTGGTCTCATCCAAGACTTGAAACTGATTTATTTCTTTACTTGCCTTACAGATTAACATTGGGCTTCAAAGTAATTTCCTTCTCAAGTGTATTTATGGCATGCACAAGGTCCAGCTCTTTCTGCATTTTAATGGTCTGAAAGAACTTTTTCAAGGAAGCAAGGGAAAGGGGGAGAGCTTAAGATGAGCCAGGACAGACCTGTGCATAGTTCTAAAAATAGGTGTGCTGTTGATCCCTGTGTAAAATCCAAGGTGACAGAGGTTTCTCAGAACACAGCATTTACAGTCTACATGCTTTGACACTGAGTTTGTATCAACAAGTAGTTCACGTACAGGAGACTTGCTTCTTTTGAGCAGCACTCATGCAGGTGCTGACCTTTCTTATGACAGCTGTGATATATGGTGCTATTAGCAGCACATTAATCACATAGACGCCTCAGGATGGACAGAGACACTTGAGGCTCAGGCCACATGGGTTTCTGCAAGATCTTGTAGATCTCTCACTGTTTTAGCTTTCAGAACCCTTTGCAATGCCATCATTGCTGGTGTGCATTGCTTTTACTCTTATACAGGTAATGTGCTGCACTGGGTACGTGCCTGCTCTTGATAATGCAGAGAGAAGTGTCAAAGCTTCTGAAAAGACAGAAAAAAACCTTTCCATGATCCAAAATTATTGAAACTCATACTCCAGGGGTCATTGGTGTCACTTATTTATCAGGCACTCTTTGCCTACTGAGGGTAACATGCTGCAGAGACTGGTTAAGATTAGACCAAGCAAATAAACACATGGAGAAGGGAAATGTTGAGTATAAGTTTCTGATGTGCAAACAAAAATGTATGATTGCTGAGTAGTGCTGTAGTTATTTACTTACTTGTGTAACTTATTTCTGATGAATCTTTAATTTGCTGTATGTAGCAGCATTCCATATAGATGTGGTGGACAACATGTGAATACAGAGTATGGAGAAAAAACTATCTAAACAACTTAAAATTTGAGTAATTTATGTGCAAAATCCAAGAAGTAGGAAGAGGTAGGTCTACGTAGTTTTCCCTAACATGCAATGCCATGTGAATACTAAGAAACAATAAATGAAATGTGGCATGAAATTTTCTGGTCACATAAAAATATGAAGGGTATTTTTCAATCAAGAACAGAAGATGAAATTTATTGGTTTTGCATTTTACCTGTAGAGAGACAAAACTGAGCTGACAAAACCAGCAGTAACTACTACAGACCTTTCCATTTCTTAACAAAACATGAGTATTTCTATTTTTTATGATAAAAATACTAATAAATCATTAATAGTTTTGGTAATAATGATCTAATTCATCCTTTTAAGACAACACATTTAAATGTAAACAATAGTGCAATTCACCAGTTATGAAGTTCTTGTTTTCTGTTCCTATGGAATTTATTTAACAGACATCACTAGAATTATCTATTATTTATCATCTTTTAAAGTTTAATGACTATGGATATGAAAATTGTTAAAAATTGAAATATAGAAAATTTCTCATTATCCTGTTGATGAATCTGACCTGTGAGTTCAAATCCACAAGTGAAAATGATTTGGCTGGTCTAAGCCACAGACTATTTGCCTACTAAATAGTTTGAAGAATTAATTCTTCACAGCCAGGAAAGGGATGTATTGGGAAAAAAAATGTATTCCAAAGTCAAGACTGTGAAATACACTAATTGTGAGGAGAAAAGTTGTTTTAAAATTAACTAATTTGAACCTTTGCCTAAAATTCCACACATAACGAATTAAAATTGAAACAAATAAAGTGAGGCATTTTATCTGTATATTTCCATGTATTTGTGTATCTCATTGCTTATGTGGGCAGTATGAGTCAGTAGAAAATTGGGTTTGAAAAAGCCAAACATTTCATATTTCTGATGTGGTCAGAGATGAGATTTTTCAAAGAGAAAAGACTTTCTGTTTTGCTCTTCTAAGAGTTGATGGTAGAATTCAAGAGCAAAAAAAGTCAAATAATCTTTGGAAGATTGCTTTTAAAACCTAATTTTAGCAGAGTATTGTGAGGACCATTCTATGAATAAAGTATATTTGGCTGATCAAAGCAGAATTTCAAGACAAATTTAAGCTGTAGTCTTCCAATAACTCTTTTCAAAATATGTTAGAGAAGTTAATTAAAAAAAAAGACTGAATTCTTATCTCTTCCATGGACCTGGTGACAGGATATGTTCATTTCTTTAAAACAAATATATCTGTGCAAGCAGTCTTGTAACTTTGGATAGTGTCAGACCACAGGAGGAAAAAGAAGCATAGGAAGCTACAGGAGGCTCTATGCACTGCACCTAAGAGTAAAGTAACAGACAAGCGTAGAAAAATAAAAATTACTCTAACAAGAAAATGTTGAAAAATATAAGGCAAAGTACAGCATAGAGTTCTTGCCAGGAAACTATTTATCAGGGGACTACTAAAGAGGGATAACTTCTGGGAGCTTCACAATGGGACCTGATGATATGCCAAAACAGGTGCCTTAACATTAGGACAGAAGATGAAAACTCAGAAATTTCAACAATTTTCATCCATAGAAGTTTAAGATTAAGACTCTGCTCCTAAGAGAGGGAGTTATCCTTCTTTCCCCTGGCAGAAGGATACAGGAAGAACAGAAGGATACAGCACGTATATTTAAATCAATGTAAAAACAGATCAGAGCAGCATTAAGCCCTGAAATACTGTCTTTGAAAGAGTTGTCACTGAGATGATAAAAAAAAGTATAGTCACATCTTCAAATGCAATGAAATATCATCTTTTTTTTTCTTTTTTTTTTTTTGATTACAGTAGTGAGCTCCTAAATTTGTAACCTAGAGGGTGACTTCAGGTCTATGGCTCAAAAACTTTGGCTGTGCGTGGGTCACCAGGTGATTACTTTCTGTAGCTTGGTCTGGCTTTCCATCCCAAATCAGCACACCACAGCTTCCTGCTTCTCTGTATATCCAAGTTTCCTACAAAAAAATGAATATGTGTATATGAGGGCTGCGAGGAGCAGGGTGCATGCTTGAATCCCACCATCATGTGAGCTGACAAATGGCCATGTGCTACCAGACCTGGGAGGCACTCATGCCTCCCCTCGTGTAGATTTATCTCTTGTCTCAGGTCTGAGAGTCATGATATTTTCCTACTTTGCCAGTGTGCTAGGATATATCCACAAACACTTGTCAGTCTTACACACGCTAGAGAAATAGGTCTTAAAAATAGACAAAAGGTAGATTTATAAGCTGCTCATGAAGGAAAACGTCAAATATTTTTCAACTTCTTGAAATTGTCTTACTCATCCTTATACAATAAGAATTTTTAGCAGTACCGATTGAGAAAAGTCCAAGCCAGAAGTGATTTTTGAAGATTGTTTGACCATGGAATGGGTTATAATACCTTTGAATAATTGGATATCCACTTCATATTCAGTATACTGAAATGAAGTAATTTAAATGATGAGATAAGTGGTCTAGGACAAATTCATCATAGATCTTTGCTCACAGATCCCTCTATGCTCCTTCCACTCCCACATTGTCAGGAGAATCTGTCTATTTGCTCGGAAATAGTATATTACAGTTCTTTTAATGAGTAAGATTACAGATTTTGATTAATTCAGCAACCCCTGTGCTTTCCTCTTTCTAACAAGGTAGGTGATTCTCTACTATAATCATAATTACAAATTTAGAGTAATGGTGACATATATCTTTGGTCTCTACCCAAATGCAGCATGTTTTGATATCAAGACTCCTTAATTAAAAGGATATTCAGTGACAAGCAACTAACAGCACTTCACATTAAGCTGAATTATAATACTCAAACACTTTATTTTATTTCTGCCCGTTCCAGTAACTCTGTAATTGCATCCACATTCTGACACACTTCTGCTTATATCACAAATGCATTGTGACATCTAAGTCTGCAACAGAACCCTCATTCTGCTAAGCTGGAAACAAAAGGATAGTGCGTGAAGAAAATATTGGCTGTAAATGCCAAGAAAATACTGCTGAGTAAAGCATCACTGTGCAAGAACACACATGCATCTGCAAAACACTACTCAAACAACCCGCCTGCAAGACAAGGTCTGAACACATGAGGATGCTGATGGTTCTTAACCAACTTCACACCTCCATATAAAAATTTACCACCTCCTCCCCATCCTGCAGTCCTTTGCCCTAAGTCAAATCCCTTGCCTTTTGACTTGCCTGTTCTTTTCCTCCTGCATCACACCCACTCAGCCTCTATGTTTCCTCTGGCTGTCATAACGAGTGATTCCCCAAATCTGGTTGCTAGTGTTGTCATACTTCTGCCTTTCCGAAGGAATATGGTAGTACTGGTATTTTGCCTGGGCAGGGGGGATTGCCTGCAGTATGCCAAGCTCCTGTGCAGCTTACCAGCTGTAAGACCATAGGGGACCCATTCTCTCAAATATTTCTATGAAAGACGCCTGGATATCAGGAAAGAAGTCCCCAGTCTTCCTCACAGCATTTGCAGCTGGCTGCTGTTTTCTGTCTTTTTTCACTTTATTTTTGACTCTTCTCCTGAAATGGCTTTGCTTCTTTTAAACAACAGCAGTTGTTGGATAGTTCAAGAGGAAATTGTGGGAGAAAGACTGGAGGGGGTGTTGGGCAGAAGAAGAAACACTGATAGCAAGGCCATGGAAAATTACTGGTAAGCAGTGTCTGGCTTTGACCTCCTGATCAGGTATACAGAGAACTTTTTCTTAGAAAAATGAATGATAGCTACTTACCAAAACTCTTTCAGTTGTCTCTTATGTTGGATATAAAAGCCCTGCTGCAAAGAAAGACCACTTATTTTTACTTGTGACAGTCCAATGCAGAAATGGCAGCTAGCAAGAACACCTTTTTAGTTTTTACTGCTAGCTGGATCAGCCTCATAAATGCCTAAACTCATATATAAAAATGTTAATGCTTTCCAATTGCTACTCTGAATTTATATTTATTGCAATACAATGCATCCATTAGCTCATCTATCACCGATAAATTTGTTACTGCTTCAAATATACAGTACATAACGTTGCAGCAATTTCATTTTACAAGCTAATAATGGACTGTAATGTAGCTTTCAATATCATGTAGAAGTATTTGATTAGGGAGGTTCAGCAGTCAGTCAGATTGAACAGTGGATTATATAAGAATCAAGTTTTTAACTTATTTACTGTGCAAATGAACAGCTTTGGTGCACATTAAATGTGTTAATTTAACAGGTGTGTCATTTTATTTCCTCAAATATTCATTGAAGAGGAACAAATGGTATTTTTACTCAAACTGAAGCACAGTAGACCTAGAATGTTTTTTTGATGCTTGACATATTTATTCTTTAAAAGACAGTAATAATTGTATTTAAATTTTATATAAATTTATTGTATATATATTTATATATTGTATGCTGTATTCTATTATCTGCAGAAACTACCCAAAAGCAGAAGAGGTGGCTAAAATATTTTCCTGAAATGCTATAAAAATAGAGGCTTTCTTTTTTTTCCCCCAAAAAAGCAAAGCTTCAAACATATACAACCTAGGAGATGATTTTTTGGAAAATTTTGGAAAATTTTATGATTTTTCACTTCCTACATGGATTTGCCAAAACACATACCTGTGTTCTGTGTGGATGGGCAGTGTCCCTTGTGCCTCTGCAAGGTAAGAGGTAAGGCAGGGATGTTGCCACACAACACCTCTGTCTGCAGGTGCTCCAGTTGGGAGTGTGACATCTCCAGTAGGTTCAAAGGTGTTCCAGTACATGAGGTGGGAGCAATACAGATTAATATTTGGCTTCCTATTCAACTGACCATTGCACTGGGGAAAAGAAAAATTCAGGATTGTGTTTTAAGAAAGGTGTCTACCAGGATTTCAAAAGTGTGAAAGTTCTGGAGAATTTGTTTCTGAAAGTGTATCATTTTGGAAGGGCATAGGTGTGTTAAGATGAATCTGTAAATCCTCACAATCCTCTTCATAGAATCATAGAACTGTAGAATGGTTTGGGTTGGAAGGGACCGTAAAGATCATCTAGTCATCATGCCACATGGGCAGAGACACCTTTCACTTGACCAGGTTGCTCAGAGTCCCATCCAACCTCTACTTGAACACTTCCAGGGATGGGACATCGCCAGCTTCTCTGGGCAACCTGTTCCATGGTCTCGCTCCCCTCACAATAAGGAATTTTTCCTAACATCTAATCTAAATCTACTCTCAGTTTGAAACCACTCCCCCTTGTCCTGTCAGTACATGCCTTCGTAAAAGGTCCCTCTCCATCTTGTTGTCTCCCTTCAAGTACTGGAAGGCTGCAATTAGGTCATTCTGAGGCCTTCTTGTTTCCAGGCTGAACAATCCTTAAATTATTTCAGTTGGTTAGAGCATGGTGCTAATAACACTGAGGTCGTAGGTTTGATCCCCATATGGGCCATATGCATCATCTACATCAGCCAATTCCCTATGCATCATATGGATCAGAGATTACTGTAGGCTCCTGGTTGTTACCACCTGAGTCAGAAAAGGCACCATTGTATAGAGAAGTAGTGCAGATGACTGCAAAAATCAGAGACTGACTTGTTGTGGATGAGAAGGCAATACCTGTTTTTGTTCCTAACACACACCAATATTAAGCTTATCAGAAAAAGCTCTTCTGCGTGCAGTCAGATAAAACATGGAAAAAACATTCATAAGGATATATTTGCAGAACTGTATATAGACAGTGTTTTTTTAAAATGAAAGACTGTCTTCGTAATGCGTATTTAGCAATACATATAATGCAATATAATATAATGTTGAGTTTTACTACTTAGGGAACTGTGTGCAATTAAAAACTCAGAAATTATTAGGCTAAATCAACAATAGGTAAAAAGTCCATGCCCAGTATTATGTTTGTACATCCATGAAAGAAATGAAGAAGTGTTTTAGCTTCCTAATCCGCTCCTGATCCTTGCAGTACATTCCAGCTCTGAAATGGGACACAACAGGAAATAGTTTACAGATTTTTTTACATGAAAGGTGCCTATAACTGTCACTTCTATTTAGCTTATAGTTTCCTGAGTTTTCCCAGTCTTTTAGCCCATGCAGATAGGATAGCTTTTAATTTAGCTGTCGTCATTCATAAACTACCCACATGAGCTTTGCAGCAGGGAAAAATTATGTGAATGAGTTCTGGAAACACTGACTTCCTAAGCACTATTTTGAGAAGTAATATCACATTATATTTGCAGTCATCTTTGGTATAAGGGATCAGCGGAGAGCTAAGGGAAAGAGTTTGATACATACAGTAGAGTTACTGGAAAAGGAAGCTGCCTTATACAGTGTTAATGAAGGGAAGTATTTTTCCTTTGTGATAAATGGAAGTGACATGCAAGGGTGGCCCTTAAAAACCCTCCATTTACTCCCCTAGAGCAAAATCTTTTAATGGGCTAGGTCCAATTTCACTAAAGATGATCGAGATTCTTAATTGGCTTCAATAAGCTTTGGATCAAGGCCACTGGAGTCATATAGATCAAAATATTTTCAGTTATATAGCTGGATGGCAAGATATGTCTGTGGTGATGATATTTGTATGAGCAGTTTGTGTTTTTACTCTGCTGTTTTACTGTGGGAAAAAACATGTTTGTTGTTTATTTCTTTGTCCAATAGACATCTACAGCTTTATAATGTCATGCAGAGGACACTAATGCAATATATTATGCATGCTATCTATATTCTGTTATGTCATTGGCTTTCACCTCACCTCATTTGTCTATTGAGTCTGGAAGATGGTTGAGGGGTGATGAGAAGAGAAATACCCTAAATATGTCAGAATTACTTAGACATGTTGGTGTGTTTTGAAAAATATGAGTACTCCTTGAGCATTGCTTTTCTAAAGTAAACTTCTGAACTGGTTCGTGTAAGATTATTTGAATGCGCACAGTTGTGCTGATCAGCCTCCGCTTTATTATTTTTCCATGTGTGACATCAGTACATGGTAGTAATTGAGATTTATTAAAGAGACACCCTAATAGTCTCATGGAAAAAAACTCTGTGTCAATTGTGAACTAATTTTTCCAATTCTGATTTTTGTTAGCATATTTATTTCATATTCCATCTTTTCCCTTTCTGATTTATTAATTTACTTTCATCATGAGATAAAACTAATACAGTAGAATACACTACACAAGCCCTTGTAACTAAACAGTACACAATCCTGTCCACTCTGGTATTCAACATCCACATGCTAAACATATAAACCATTCCCATAGTCCCAAATTAAGACAAGACTTTAAATGAAAATACACAGTCTTTTATGTATCTTATTTAAGGAATCTGCTGAGTGGTATTCCAGTGAGTTTCTTTATCCTGTTTTACTTCTTTCTGTGGAAAAATTATAGGGAAAGAATGTACTTAAAATATTTTAACAGCTTTAATGAAGATGTTAAAAAGAAAGTGAGCTGCTGAGTATTAGTCTGAAGAATTAATATTCTGTACAATTAAACCTGAGATGGGGAAACAACATTTTCTGAAATCCTTGCTTGCTTAAAGGTCTTGGATCTTTTCTATGCAATGTTTTTATCATATTTTCAGAACACAAACCCATATAACATAACTTCCATCTGGCCATTATACCTCACTGCAGAGAATTTCTGTACTTGTGTGTAAAGAAAAATACATTTTTATACAGCATTTTTAGAAATGTTTCCATTTAAAACATATGCTTGTTTATTCATGAGAACCCTAAAACTGCTTATGAAATTTCTAAAACTGTTCAGGTTTGCTAATCAAAGAAAAATAGTGTCACTACTGAAATAAACACCTTTTGAACATCCCATTATAATTTCAGGGAATAAAATTAATAGGAAATTCAGAACTGTCTTGGTTAATTTGAAATGTGAAGATGTCACTAGACATTGGGTTTTCAAATTGCTTGTTTGCAGCAACTCTTTACAGACTTGGGCAGCAGTTGCTCATGTGCTGTAGACACTGTCTCTTGCTTCCAAACTCTTACTTATATAAACAAAATATAATTCCCTTCCCTTTGCCAGTAAAACACAAAACAAAAATAAACTTTCCAAAGGATCCATATATTGTGGTCTGAAATAAGAGGGAGATAAAATAATTTAATTAAGACTTGAAATAAAATGTGAAAAATATCCTCTAAGAACTAGTCCAAAGGATAAAACACAGGAAAGCAAAGAATACAATGCAGACCTTTTTTTTTTCTTTATGTGTATTTTTGTTTTCCTTTTATGAAAAAAGAAATTATGAACTTTGGATGTACTCTCGCCCATTCTTCCTTATTTTTTCCTAAGACTCCATCATATCCCCTGCTTCCTGTGAAATGAATAGGATTCTACAGATAGCCCTAACCCAAACCAACACTATATTGTTCCATTAGAGAGGAACTGAGAAAGAGATAGAAACAAACCAATGCACAGTTAAAGGAGATACAGATAAAAGCAAAACAGAATGGGTAGTGCATCTGATTGAAGAAATTCTTTCTTTCTCCAGTTGTCTCTCTTGCACATACACACACACACACACACCTCTACACACTTGATTTATTTGTGAAACAGTGTCTTCCAAACATAGAATTTTGCAAAGTGTAAAGGCAATTAAAAAGAACAGCTTGAAGCTGCCAATCACTCCAACTACCAACAAAAGCATCTACTATCAAAGCAAATTATGTAATGTAAAAAAGCCCTCCACATTCTACCAAAGCAAATAATGTAAACATGCAAGTAAAAAATAAGCTTGTTTATCATCTGTCATAGCAAATCATACATTTTTTAACCCTCCCCACTCAGGATAGGTGTTTTTGTATCCCATTATGTTAGTTTGGGCATGCATGTGACATGGAAGGTAAAGAGCAATATGAGAAGTTAGATTTTCTGCATCTTTTTCTGCTGGCAAGCATACTAATGCTCTTGCAGGTTTGGGTGCTTTTTAAAATTTTTTTGGTTTCTGGTGTAAAAATAAATTGACAATCACAACTTATCATCACTTAAAAATGCATGTGCATGCTGGAGTTTACTGAAACATGATTGGCTACTACATAAATCAATCTGATAGAGATCAGCCCTGTGAAAAAAAAAGATAAATCATTAGTCTGTGCTTTTGGAATGTAATTCATTTTAGATAGTGATTATTAATGATTTCATTCCACTGGTACATGTACATGTCTAGACCATGTTTTTGTATAAAATGTTAAAACACTGCAATGTGTTCACTTCAAGAAAGACCATGAAGAAATAATGATTAAAACTTTGTTATTGCAACATTCCAGGTGTAAAATTTGCATGCAGAAAACTTGGATTCCCTTAAAGTGAAATTCTTGTCTTCTACAGCAATTATAATTTAGTTCTCTACCTTGCATGCAGCATTTGCTTGTGTATTGCTATAAGTTTTTCCCCACTAGATAAAAGGTTCTGTGAACCCTTTCAATTGGCCTCATTATAGTTACACCAGATTTTTATGGGGTGCAGTATGTGAAACTAAGCCATTCACTCAAACATACTGAAATTATTCCCA